TGCATTGACATCGGTTCACCTTGGAAATTGTCATCGCATAAAGGCCGTAATTTTCTCAAGAAGGAGTTCCGGGTGGTGCTCAAAGGAAAGTCGAAAACATTCGAGCTCATGCTGTCACCAGAAGTGTACATAATACCGCGGGCTCTGCCGCGAGTCTTGGCCAACTTGCGTGACCCTGCCATGAGGGATGTGAGGACTACGAGGTGCCCAGATTTTGGTTCATCTGAAGTTTGGACGGGACGTGACGTCTTATCCAAAATCTTGACGCATGCCGCCAGCTCATCTCGCGGAGCACATGTCTTTTTGCGCTCATGAGGATTGGGAGATCTTGGGTGTTGGTACTGTCTCCGAACTGCTGTGTGAAGTTCGCGTGGGAACAAACAGTCGCTGGGTGTAGTGAAGGCAAAACTTTGCAGGCTGCTATTTTGGCCTTCTTGTTGGGGCCCTCTTGGGGATCTCCTGTGTGATTTCGGGGTTCTCTTTAGAGATCTCTTTGGCCGAGTGGAGGCCGACTTGGGGTCTCACCTCGAGGCCCGATAAACCAGTTGGAGCCCGCAGAGTCGAGATGGTCAACAGAATGCGCGTTGGCATTGTGTCTTAAGGTTGTGTGTCTACCCTGGGCGCCGCCGAGGAAGTCTTCTCCAGCCTTCCTTGGGCAATCCAGACGTTGGCCTTCTGTCTTCATGTTGTGTGTCTACCCTGAGAGCCGCCGAGGAAGTCTCCTCCAGCCTTCCTTGAGCAATCCAGACGTTGGCATTCTGTCTTCATGTTGTGTGTCTACCCTGGGGGCCGCCGAGGAAGTCTCCTCCAGCCATCCTGGAGCAATCCAGACGTTGGCATTCTGCTTTCATGTTGTGTGTCTTCTCTGTGAGCCGCCGGTGAAGTCTCCTCCGGCCATCTTGAGCAGTCCTTGGCGTCCTCTGGGAACCCCCAAACCGGGTGATGAGATACCCAGTGGCGACCTGGAATCCCCAAAAAGGTCTCCGCTGGGTTTGGGGACGCGGGGTCACCACCGGGTTTTGTGACTCCTGGACCCACCAGTGTGCGGGACATCCTCGGAAAACCGCACGAGTCCCCAAACCGGGTGGTGACATCAAATCGCCCGAGACTCACCGCCAGGTGTTGTCACCACCACGTTTGGGGAATACCAAGTCCTCTCTATGACATCCTGGATCAGCTTGGGCCATCTTGGGGCCTTCTCGGGCCTGCTGCCGACTGGCCGGTGCTCCCGCCCTGCTCCCGGGCAGCCCGCGCCCCGCTCCCGGGCGCCTCCTCCTCGGAGGACCTCTCGGAGCACTCTCGGGGGGGGGGGCCTCTCGGGAGATGCCGAGAGCCTCCCTCGGACCCGTCGGGGTGTGGTCTTCTGGGGGTCTCTTGGGGGCCATCTTGGACCATCTCTGCCTCTCCCGGAGCCGTCTTGTCGCTGCCTCGGGTGTTTTTTGCAGGCGTTTCGGTGCTTCACAGAGGAGTGCCGCTCATGGGCTACCGCTGTGCAGCTATTAGGTCCTCCTGAGGCCCTCGTGGTGCCGCCTTTGGAATCTTGGTGCCCATTCAGGGGTCTCTTGGGCCCCGTTGGGCGCCTCTGGGACCACTTCGCGGCCCGTGAAGCTCATCGGCGCCTGGAAAGGCGACAAGGTCAACACCATAAACAGGTATCTCTTTTCTCACACCTGCTCGGGTTTTTTTTGGAGACCCCGCAGGCGTATCCTTCTGCCAGCTTGAACTCTAGCTGCAGTCCAATGGGCTGTCTTGGGCCGTCTCGTGCCATCTCGGGGCCATCTTGGGGCCATCCTGGGGCCATCTTGGGGTCTGCCGCTGACTGTCACCGCCCACCAAACCACCCCGACCCAACCCGAAGGCCCTGCCTTGCCGTCCATGGTGGGGGGGGAACATTGACAAAAACACATATGGAGCCGGTACCCAACCCGAACTTCGGGTCTTCGGGTTGGGTTGGGGTGGTCTGGCAGGTAGCCAGACTGATTCTCGCTCCAGGGGCCCCTCCGCTCCTCGCTTCTGGGCCGCTCCGCTCCCGGGGGCCCTCTTCTGGGGCCCTGTCGGGAGGGCCCCCTTGGGAGCCCTCCCGAGGCTCCTCGGAGCCCACGAGGGCGAGCCAGTCCACATCAGAGCCCACGGGGGCTCGAGCGGTCGTGCATGCTGCCTGCGCGCTCGTGGCTGGAGGGAGGGCCCGGCCTCCACGGGCGGCGGTCGGGGTCGACGCTTCGGGGCGGCACTCTGGGGTAGTGCACGGGGGCGACGCTTCTCGGGGGCGACACGTGGGGGTGACACTTGGAGGCGACACGTGGGGGCGGCACTTTGTCGGAAACAGGAGCAAGTACATTACCAGTGGCGGGCTGTCTTTCAATCCCAGGACTTTGTGAGGGCCGAGGACGACGTCGGGGTGGTGTGGGGTATGTTTTTTATCCGCTTCCCAGGGAAGCAACGAAACATGTATACACCAGGGTCCCGTATACACCAGGATCCGTTTTCCTGTGCATATTTCAGTGCAGGGCTGGAAAACATGTCGGTGTATTGAGTTCGCTTCCCTAACATGGGGGCGACACTGGGGGGGGGGGCAGCGCATGGGGGCAACGCGCGGGGGCAGCACATCGACGCATCGTGGGATGAAGCTTGAACCACAGCAGGAGCGCGCGCTGGTGGAGTGAAGGGCGCGCCCGACGCCTGCCACCCGCCCTTCGTCGGCCTCGCGCAGAGGGGGGAACGGGGGAGGGGGGAAGGCTTCTTAGAAGCACCCCTGCTTCGTAGAAGCGGCTGGCCTTGTCTGTAGATGTAAGGCCTGCGCCTTCTAAGATGCAGTCTCCTTCTAATGAGAAGCCTTCCCCTCTCCCCCTACCCCCCTGTGCGCGCCGCCAACTTGGGCTTAATTGCTTGACGCTCGCATCATCCCTGGCCTAGCCCTTTCCGCTTGCGCCTCCAACCATTAACGCCCGGGCGTCGCCCGTAACGTCACCCCCTCGCTCTTATCCCCAAACGATAACAAGACGTATTTTATCTGGAGCCCACTGGAAGGGCTTCTTCGGCCACCTAATATTAGGACTTGGAATCCATTGGGTTATTTTGGAGTATCTCGGGCTTCATTTTAGGGGGAAAGTCCTGGAGGCCTCGCGCGGCGCGCAACAGTTGTACCATCTAGTCCACGCGCCTGCTCCGCACGCGATGGGTCGACGTTCGCGCGGCAATGCTCCGGCGCAAGTTCGACGTGAATCCGTCGCGAATCCAACGTAAATTCGGCGCAGTCCGAGGTGAACCCGACGTATATCCGACGTGGATCCGACGTAAGCTGGGTCTCAAGTTGCCGCGCGAGTCCTCCAGGAGTGTCCTTAGAACGTATTGGATCCTGTCGGATCCGTCTGTGCGGCCACCTTGCTGCCTTCCACCGATTGGCCGCGCTTCCGCCCTGCTCTTGGGCGGCTGATGGCCTGCTCCTTCGGCGCCTTCCGGCTCTGGCCCAGGCGGCTCTTCGGGAGGAGTTTCGTCTGTGAACCAGACAGGGCCGCCCACGCGATGCGATTCGCGGGTTAGGCTGGCGATTCCGATTCGATGTGGCCCGATTCGCAGGCATTGGCCTGGGCCAGCTGGAGCGGGGTGCGGCGATCCGATTCGGGACCGTTTCGCCTGCGATCTGACTTTTTTTCGATCCGATCCGATCTCGTGATCCGATCCAGCTCAGGACTGCCAGGGGTGCCCTCGCGCGTGCGTCCTTGATCGATGGGGTATGACGGCAAGCGCGCGTTGCGTGCCGTGTCTCAGTTGCCTAACACGCCCCTGGCCATTTGGGCCGACGGATTGGCTTTGAACCGGTCGGTGGCGACAGATTCCAAGAGCACTCCAGACGAAAAGACTATTGTGTTCAACCGTGTTGCTGAACAACTTCTTGACGGGGGATGCATGACCGAAGCAGTGGACAAAGAGGTCGTCGTGAGTGACTCTGGCTGGTGGCGTTATCCACTGTCAGGCCCTCCAGGTCAAGGAAAGACCATAGCGTACCATGGTACTCACAGCGAAGGAGCCATCGCTATTTTGTCTGAAGGCTTAAGGCCGCCTGGCCAGGGAGATAAGCCCCGGCATGGTCAGTCTGGCTCAGACAGCAAAGCGTCTGTCTACACCTCCCCGTGTTTGTCAGTTGCAGCATTTCCGGTGTATTCAAGCTTCTTTGGCGTCGGAAGCGCGAGAAAGGGCAAGCATGTCTCTTGGGCACAGGTCGTTTTTGAGGTCGAAGTTCCAGAGGAGTATACAAAGCACCAGCCTGGAACATTGAGCCATCATACGCACTGGCCGCGCAACTTGCAGTTTCAGGAAGGCTTCAAGGCCAACTCGGGCCTCGAGTGGCTTTATGACGACCCGTCTCAGCTACGCCTTGTCGCAATTCTTGTGCGTGGCTTTGGGAAAGGGGCCGACATGTTTGGGGAGCTGAACTCCCAGGTCCGGTCTGGTAAGAAAGAGCCTCAATTTTTATGGACAGAGCTTCTCCAAGCAAAGCACGAGTCTGAGAGATTGTGGATGGAACCGGGCCGCTCGTTGTCAGCGTACGCCTACGATGCATTCGGTCGGCGCGTGGTCGGCAATTTTACGATGCAGGAAGGTACGTTAGTGTCTTGCAACGCTTCTTGCTTATTGTGCGATGATGAGCGAGTTGGACGAGTCGCAGTGTTCCTTAATGGTGAACGGAAGCCGCAATCCGCGAGGCACACGTCTGATGAGTTCATCAAGTTCAGGTCGCATGGAGGCCTTGTTGACCCACGGGACTGTGGTAAAATGATCTTGACAGCGTCTGGGGCCAAAGTACGAGGGAAGCGGAGTGGAAGGCCAGCGCATAATACTATCAGTGAGAGGAAAAATGACGAGGCAACGCCTGGTAAAGCTGCTGGTAAAGGAGGTCGCCAGGCAGTTGGTAAGACCAAGCTAGGGCGTGATGACCAGAGCGATCATGCCACTGGCACCTTGGACGTGAGGGGCAAAGGTGATGCACGCAGGGCTATCAGGTATGCTGCCAGAGCGTCTCGGGCAATGCTGGGCAACGGTTATTAGAATTGGCTGTGCGAGACGGTCGAGGACTAAAATGAACCAGCATGCATTCAGCAGAGGAATTTGTCCAAGGTGGCATCAAGATTTTGAACATGTGAGGCCACACCAGCCAACCATATGGTACAACAAGTTTTTCTGAGCTGATAATAAGCGCAAGGGCTTCAGCTGTTTATTTAAGAGGCTTACGCCGTTCCGCCGACCCCCAGGAGAGAGATGAAATCCACGGGTGAGGTCTTTGGGGGCCTCTTGGGGACCCTCTGGGGTCTTCTTGGGGGCCTCTTGAGGCCTCTTGGGAGTTTCTTGGGCGCGTGCTGGCGGTCTCGGGGGTCCTCTTGTGGCGGAGGGCTCGGAGTGTCAGTTCGAGGTACCTCTCCTGGGCCCTTCTTGCGGCTCTGTTATGGCTCTCTTGGTCCATATTGGGCGCCTCGTGGACCGTCTTGGGATCCTCCTCGACCGTCTGGGGGCCCTGTTGGGGGCTTCTTGGGCCGTCTTGGAGTGATCTTTGCGGCCTCTTGAGCCGTCTTGGACGCCGTTAAGACCAAACATGCGAGTATGCTCATGATAGACGTTTCCTGTGGATTTTGACGATTCTTGCTTCCTGGGACCTTCTCGGGGATCGTCTTGGTAGCCCTCTTGGGGCGTCTTTGAGGCATCTTGGGCAGTCTTGAGGCCATCGTGGCCGTCTTGGAGGACTCCTCGGCGCGTTGGAGCCCAGCTTAATTTGGTTCCAGACCGGAGGGGAGGTGGGAAGGGGGGAGGGGGACAGCCGATCATCTCGCACGCCTTTGCACCCCCGGCAAGCGGGGGTCGGCGGATCAGTGCACGCTTGCCTTGCCAGGGCAGCTGGAAGTCTCCCATGACCCATGGTGGTAAGGTCGTTCGGGCGCAATCGTTTTATCCTTGAGGGCTTCGCCCCCTGCCGCCGGCCCCTCACTGTCAGAATGGGATACATCAGAGTCGCGTCGGTGCGTCTCGGCGCTGCCTTGGCGCATCTGGGAACATCATGCGGGGGCGGATAGGAATCATCAGCGCATATTGAGACGCGGGCGTCCTAGTGGCCTTCGGCCCATCCCGCCACCGTGTCTGGGTTGTGGGTCTGAGGCCTCTTGGATATGTGTTGGGGTGTCTTGGGGAGCCTCTCGGGGGCCTCTTGGAGGTGGTCTCGGCGCCTCTTGGGGGCCTCTTGGGGCTTCGTGGAGTATCTTTTGGGCCTCTTGGAGACCTCTTTGGCGCCTCTTGGGCGCCTCCTGGGGCCTCTCTGGGCCTCCTGGGGGCTTCTCGGGGCTTCTCGGCACGCTTCTTGGGCCATCTTAGAGCTCTCTCGGGCCGTCTTGGGGCCCTCTTGGAGGCATCTTCGGCTGTCTTGGGGCGGTCTTGGGAGCTTTTTGAGCCATTTTGGAGCGTCGGAAAGCCGAACATCCGAGCACCCCAACCTCCTGCATCAACTTTTGTAAAATCGACGATGTTGGCCTCTTGGGGCTCTTTCGGGAGGCCTCTTGGAGCGCTTTTGGGGCCGCTTGGGGCCCTCTTGGGCCGTCTTGGAATCATCTTCGGGCGCCTTGGAGCATTCTTGGCTTCGGCAATACGCATATGGCTGAATTTGCTAGGGTTTATGGCCACGTGGACGCGCATATTGAATCATTCACAATGGTTTCTTGCCTCGGGGACGCCGGAATCGAGCAATTTGCGAGGGTTTGTGGCCTCGGGGGCGCGAGTATTATTCAATGTACGAGGGGTTCTGGCTTCGAGGGTTTGTTGTCTGGGGGGCGCAAGAATTCATAATTTGCAAGGGTTAATTGCCTTGGAGACGCGAATATGGTGTAATTTACAATGTTTTTCTGTTTCGGGGAGACAAGACTTGTATAGTTTGAGAGGGTTGCTGGCCTCGGGTACGCGAATATTGTACAATTTGCAAGGGGTCGTTGCCTCGGGGGCGCAGGAATTTTGTAATTTGCAAGGGTTGATGGCCTTGGAGACGCGTGTACTGTATAATTTACATTGTTTTTTTTGTTTCGGGGACGCAAGGCTTGTATACTTTGAAAGGGTTGCTGGCCTCGGGTTCGCGAACATTGTGCAATTTGCAAGGGATCGTTGCATCATGGGCGCAACTGTGGCGCAATTTATGTGGGATCGTGGCCCCAGAGGCGCGAAGGTAGTATAATTTACGGGAGATCGTGGCCTCGGGGGCGCGAGTACCGGGTATTTGGCGAGGGATTGTCCTCACTGACCTCTTCTCTCCCCCTCTATGTGTTTGTCACGGCCAATTTAGGCTTTAGGCCCGCCGTGGGCGGGCACAGGTGATTCATGCTCGTTGGGGCGCTCCGTTGCAAAGAAACATGTCCCCCCCCCCCCCCTGTGGCCACCGACTTCAATGGTAGCGGAGCGTGGGCCACCAGCAGGGGCAGGCAATGTATCGAGAAGGGGGCGTCTCGGCGACAACACCAGGCACGTTCACAGCGACAGTAGAGGAGGGAAAACAACCAGGATATCAGGAGACATGTGCAGGAGCCGGCCAGGGAGAAGAAGACCCGAACGATTGGAGTGAATTCGGCTGGCAGGATCGAAACTGGTGATGGTCAGAGTGGTGGTCCTGGGCTCAGGACTGGAGCCGTTCGTCGGACTGGGGTGCAGACTGGAAGCCGACACCAGAGAGGAACAGGGATTTCTCCGGACCGCCGCCGTTATTAGCATAAGTTGACCTCTTGGACAAAGAGAACAGGATTTCCTCTGGAGACTCAGGCTTCGAAGATTCTGGAAGGCTAACCGATAGAGTTGCAGGCGAAGTTTCGCGGTGTCCGGCGACAGCTTGACCGGGACAGTGGAGTTGAGATCATGATCGCTCATCTGAGGTTTCTGAACGGATAGCGTCCTGGATATCGAGAGAGAGAGAGTAGCGCAGAACGCTGCACTATTTGATTCTGGCATCAAGCGTGGAGAGACTCTCTTGGAGTTCGTGTTGCGAAGAGACTCTCAGATCGCTCAGGCGGATACGTTTGGTTTGAGCTTGCCAGATGATGTGCGAGCTCGATTCTACGAGGAAGGGTTGCAGCTTTCGGGACATATGAAAGTCAACCTGAGGACGTTGATGGCTGGGGACTCGTCGTGTCAGGCGGTGCGCAGGGCACTACTACAGCTCGACGTGACGGACAACAGCATCTTGCCTAAGGTTTCGGCAGGATCTAATCAGCAGAGTTTCGCAGTCGTCGAGGGGGGCCATGGGTCGGACGAGGAAAAGTAGGACATCTACGAGACTGAGTTCACTACCGAGGAAGCTGCTACCTTTCTCACGTCTCTTCAGGCTCAGGACGATTACGAGGATGAGGGTTTTCGAGTCTTCGCCGAGATGGCCGATGCCAAGCGACGGTCGTGGAAGGAGGCCTGGCAGTTGAAAGCGTCTAGGAAAGTCGACAGAGACTTCTTCGACAGAAAGCGGGCCTCATCGTCAAACTCAGATGGATTCCGTACGATTTCAAAGTCAGATCTGTAGAAGAGAACGATATGCACGAGCTGTGATGACATGAGGCATTGAAGGGGGGCTGCAAGGAACCGTGCCGTTCCGAGGAGGACAGGTTGAAGTCCGAGCGAACCGCGGGACAGTCAAGCATGCCAGCCGCCGAGAGTTTCTTTTTCTCGTTTGACTCCCTCGGAAAGTCCGCACCATCCTGGGCTACTTCTCTGGGGGGGATTTCAGGGGGTTCCGCGGGCTTTAGCGCGATCAATTTGTGGGACATGGGGGGTCAAGCTCTGGTGGGCACGGCGGCAGCTCAGGCCCTCGTCGGCGAGCCAGACCTGCGGACCACGCAGATGGCCTTTGCCCAGCAGGGGTACTTTATTCACGTCGTGTATGAGGACGGTCTTCCCTGTGCGAATGGCGTGGGGAGAAAGATCTGGTCTGTGGCCGAGGCTCCGGCTCCTCCCTCGTTTCACAAGTGCGGGGTTCTCGAGTAATTAGTGTTGCCGCATTCTTGTCCATCGCTGTTGCACGCGGGCTTCCTGGATTTCTTAGAGGTGGTCATTGATGTGAAGGGCGACGCGATTCGTTTTGGTCAGGGTTCTCGGGTGATCCAGATGACGAGACAACCCTCAGGACATCGATCTATCGGTCTGATCGGCATGCCGGCTCGGGAGTTCAAGTTGGGCGACTCTCTGGCCGCTAGATTTCTCCGTTTTGTCGAAAAGGAGAACCTCGTGGCGACATCAGGCGACTCGGGAGAGTGCTGGGAGGTGTTAGAGGACCGGGTTCGTCTGCATCGCGTCCGTCCTCGTCGAGAGTTGGTCGATCCAGCGGTTTCCGAGGGGGTGCCGGCGACTCCGGAGCAGATGGGCACCACCCGAGTCGCGTACTGCAAGTGCCGAGACGAGAGTGACACCTGGTTCGAAAACTATTACCAGCACGAGTGGAGAGGGGAGTGCGAGCAGACCCGCATGCCAGACTATTGGATTGGCCACGCGGACTTCAACCTGGTCAGCGGGGAGGCGTCGACGCAAGACCGCCGCGCGCCGAGCAGTCTGCTGCCTCGGTCAATCCCCTCCTCTCGCTCCTCCTGCGAGTCAGGGGTCAGCGGGGTTACTTCAGGGGGTCTGACGAGTCAGGTTGAGCGGCTTTCCCCCTCCGTCGCCGTTCTTTGTTCAGAGGCTCTTTGTGGTGTAGGGGCGGCCATGCCGAAAGCCATTTCTAAGGAGTCGGCCGCCCGCGCCATGGGCCCAGCCTTGGCCCAGAAGAGACGAGTGGCTGGCGCCCTCACGAGAGTCCGGCGAAACGCCAGACAGGCAGCGCTGCATCTCTTGTCAGTCGAGCTGGAGACGTTGGAGGAGGATTCGGAGATCGAGACCAACTGGGGCGTCGCGCCGGATCCGTGGCACGACTGGGAGCTCCAGAACGTAGACTACACGGGCAGCGAGCTGACCGAAGTGGAGATTGTCTTGATGAACAAGGGTGGCTACGTGCTGACTCCTCCTGTCCACGCTGGGCCCCCTGGCGCTTCTGGTGATGCTCCGGGCTTGCTCAGACTCGAGGCTTCTCGTGAGTCTCGCTCCGAGACCCCGCGCAGGAGCAGTCAAGGAGGCCGCGGAGGAGGAGTGCGAGCATCCGCTGTGTGCGAGACCACAGCGCGGGAACCAGTGCGCCAGATGGGCGAAGTGTCCACAGTGTGGCGGCACCCTCGAGACGACCAAGTACACGCCAGAGGAGGGGGTCCAGGGGAAGGCCAAGCGCGAGAACGTCAAGAAGGACAAGGACCTCGAGGAGGGCCAGCAGCAGCAGGTCAAGATGGCGATCAAGGTGCGCAACGCCGACTACCAGCAGGAGGAGATTGAGCCCGTGCAGCGCCCGCCTCGCAGCCCAGGATCACATCGCACTCCAGGGCGACCGACGGCGCTGAAGACGAAGATGCGACCGATTCCGGAGGCCGTTCCAGTCAAGCCACCTCCGCCACGCCATTTGTCTCCACCTCCTGGTGCTCGACCAGCGGCCGTCAGGAGCGCGCCTGCCCGCGGGTGCGATGCGGGGGGGGTGCGCGGCGCGGAGATCGAGGAGCTTCTTCGAAACCCGGAAGACAGCAGAGAGGAGGTCGCCCAGTGGATGCTCGAGCAGAAAGGGGACTCCGCGGTCACCGGGAGCCAGTTTCGGGAGCTGATGGAGACGATCAGGAGCAGCGTGACGGGGGCTCCAGCAGCGCGAGTCAGACAGACGTCCGGATGAAGGCATGGGTGGTCAGCGACGAGGACTAGGAGTTTTCGCCCCTCAGTCCGAGAGCGACACAGTGCATTAAATGTCCGAGCTCAAGGGGCCCTTTGCAGTTTCATATTCGGGGACGTCGAGCGCTCTTTTAGCGAGGGCAAGCAAAATCCGTCACCCTCTTCCCCATCATCGTCCACCTCCACCTCTATCCGAGAGATTTCTGAACTTTCCCAAGAAATCCAGGAGGCCCTCAAGGGTGTCCTTCCTGCGGGTGCCGATCCAGGGAGCTGGGCTGCGAAAAGCTTCGGGGTGACCGGGGCCAGGGGCGATCTGGGGGGCCTCAGGCGAAGCTCGACGTGTGTGAATTCCAGGCTCTGGGACTGCGATACTGGAGGCCCAGCGTCTCTGGAGGGAGTCTCGAGCGACTCGGAATGTAGAGGAAGGCTTCTTGGGGCTTCGGAGGTTCAGGAATTCATGACCTATCTGGCGCTTCGCAAACAGGGGGGAACCAGTTCCTTGAGCTTCGACTCCAGGATCAAGCGACTAAGTATTACCGCAAGAAAGCCCGATAATATCACCGCGCTGGTTGACTGTCTGTGGGTCGGGGCCTCGGCTTCAGGAATAGCTGTCAAGACGGAGCGCTACCTGCAGTCGGACTTCCTCATCTCGGTCCGGGCTTCGGCTGGGACCCCGACTAGTGCGCTCCGGATTTGGATGCTGCCGGACAGACGTCCCGCCCTCGGGAGGTCTCTGGCTCAGCCCCTAGTGTCGGTGCCGCGCAGAGTACGTGAGGGAGCTCTCAGGTCCGGTGCTGGTTATGGGGTTCGGGCCTCGAAGACGCAACTCAGGAGCGCAGCGCGTCGAGCGTTCAGAGAGCAAGAAACAACTGTTCTGTTGGAGTTCTTTTCTCTTCCTAGGGTCACTCCAGAGATGGAGAGAAGAGCGTATCCCGTTTCCAGAGCCGTCGATCTGCGTGCGGATTGGGGTCTTCGTTGGATTAGAGAGAGAGGAGAGAGAAAGAGAGAGAGAGAGAGAGAGAGAGAGAGAGAGAGAGAGAGAGAGAGAGAGAGAGAGAGAGAGAGAGAGAGAGAGAGAGAGAGAGAGAGAGAGAGAGAGAGAGAGAGAGAGAGAGAGAGAGAGAGAGAGAGAGAGAGAGAGAGAGAGAGAGAGAGAGAGAGAGAGAGAGAGAGAGAGAGAGAGAGAGAGAGAGAGAGGAGAGAGGAGAGAGGAGAGAGAGAGAGAGAGAGAGAGAGAGTGAGAGAGACAGAGAGGGAGGGAGAGAGAGAGAGAGAAATAACAAAAAGAGACAGAGGATTTGGGAGATGATTCGGTCAGACAGGCCAGGAGTCATTGACGCCACCAAGTCGAGGAGTCTCCGTTGCCAGAATTCCCATCTGGGAGAGAAGGAATTCCGCCGACCGAGACCGAGTCGAGCAGGAAAGTATCTTCTTCTGGGGACTCGCTGTGCAGGTCGCGATGTATCAGGTTTCCGGAGGACGCAAGTTTCTCATAGAGAATCCTTTCGTTGCCTTCTCTCGTCGGTTGGGGTCCACTGCCGTCCTCCTTGAGAGTCCAGGGGTCCAAGAGACTGGAGGAGATCAGCGCGCGTTCGGCTTGACTACCTTGGACGGAAGATTGGGTGTGAAGCCCGCTCTATGCATTTCCAACAGCACGGAGCTTCTATGAGTTTGCAGCCGGAGATGCACGGGGGGTCACGTTCATTCCGTTCGCGCCGGCGGTGCCAGGACGTCAGCAGCTGAACGATGCCCATCTGAACTCGCGCGGGCACTGGCGGAGGGCGTCGATCTGGCCGTCTTCCGTCCGAGTGAGATTTCCTCTTTTCCAATTTTCCCTGGTGAGGCTCCGCCCGACCCGGGGGCCTCCGAGGGAGAGCGATTCTGAAGGCGAACCAGAGACCCGAGGGAGTCATGGCCCGTCCGGAGGGCTCGCCAAGGGGCTGAAACTATCCTAGCAACTCCAGGACGAAATCCATATGCTTCACGTTAATTTAGGGCACCCCAGGAAAGAGCTTGTCATTTGGGCCCTGAAAGTTGACACAGATAAAAAGGAAGTCATTCAGTGGGTCGGGAAGGGTTTTCGATGTCCCACATATGATGCGAAATCCAAGCCAGTTTGGAGGAGAAGGGCCCATCTGCGCAGGACATGCAGGTTTAATAAGTTAGTCGCTGCCTATGTGTTTTACGTTGGAGTGCTGGGTTCCACTCATCCCATGCTGAATATAATCGATCACGGATCGAATTTCCAGATGCGCGCCCGTGCTCCTAGCCGTCGCAGCAGCTGAGGTGTGGAACGCCTTCTTGAAGTACTGGGTAAGACCATGCGGGATCCCCGAGACGATGATGACGGACGGGGTTCAGGAGTTTGAGGGGTCGTTTTCTCGGGGACTCGAGCATCTGGGGATCTATCGACATGTTTGCGACGCCGAGTTCCCCTGGGCAAGCGGAAGGTGTGAGAGGCGCGGGGGTCTGATGAAGGGCGTGCCCGCTCGCGCGGCGTCGGGGGCCTCTCCCTCCGCCCTGGAGGAAGTGGGGGAACTTTTGTGCGAGGTCGTCTCAGCCGAGAATAGGTGTGCCCATGCAGGAGATTTCTCGCCGTATCAGATGGTGTTCGGGGCAAATCCGAGGTTGCCCCGCTCTCTCCTCTCAGACGATGCCTTCGATGGGGTCGGCATGGGCGACGTCATCTGGGGCGCCGCCGACGCTAATTCGCCAGCCTCCACTTTTGCTCGTAAGCACGCTCTCCGAGAAGAAGCCGAGAGAGCCGCCGCGGTTATGGGCGCCTGGGGCCGCTTGATGGCCGCCAGCAAATCTCGGAAACATTTGGGCGAAGTTTTCCTTCCAGGGGCGTGGGTCTACGTCTGGCAAAAGGGCGGGGCCGCTGAGGGCCGGGGCGGGGGGGCGAGGACCAGGCGGAGTCGATGGGCCGGGCCAGGCGCTGTCGTTCTTCAATCATGCAGCGCCGCGTGGGTTGCCGCGCGATCGCGTCTGCTGAAGTGCAAACGGGAGCAGATTACATGGGCTACTAAGGGTGAGTCTCGGGGGGCCGAGTTACTCGACTCACCGTCCTTTGACCAATTTCGTCGGGAGCTCCGGGCTCCAGGGAAGCGGGTCGGAGCTGTGGGCGTTGAAGCCGAGGGGCCTCCGCCTCCCGAGGCCTGGGACTTAGGAGAGCCGGAGTCAGCCGAGGTTCCAGTGCCTGTGGTTCCACCTCGGGAGCAGCCGCCTCCGGCAGACGCGCCGATCGAGGAGGGCAGGCGCGATCGAGAGGACCGGGCCTCCACGGCCAGGCCAGAGTCAGTCTCGAGCGGGGGCATGTCTCCGGGACCTGGTTCCACCAGGTCAGAAGACAGGTCTGGACTTCCTAGGGTGGTTCAGGATATCTTGAGGGGCGAGGGGAGGGAAGGTGATGTCGAGGCGAGTCCAGCCGCGCGACGAGGACCCGAGGGCCCGATCGACCCTCCTCCCTCACGACGTCCCAGGTTAACGCGGGTGGAAGACAGGCCAGGAGGCCCCGGGAGAGTCAGGGGGGCCGGTGAGGAAAGGGAGGGGATTAACTTTCGAAGCAGGCTTCTTGACGACGTGCCGGCTTGCATTCGGATGAGGGCTATGCCTTCGAATGCGCCAGACGGCTCGGCTGCATCTGACAGCTGAGGTCCGCCTGGTGGAGCTGAGGAAAGACCTCCAGCGGGATCTTCTCCGCTCGCTCGTGGCGGGTCGAGGTCGCCGAGGCGGGGGCAACGTGGGCAGGTCGGGGGAACTAGTGCTCCGAGGGCCCACGAGGCTTCTGTGGGCGACGAGGATGAGTCTCTTTGGGAAAAGCTCTGTTCTTGGTTTCACTTTGAGGACGATTTTTGGCACCTCGGGATCGAGTCGTCTCTGGCGGTTTCCAAGGGGAAAGGAAGGGGCGAAGAGTCTCCGTCTCGTCGCGGGGCCGAAGTTTCACTGAAATGTCTCTCGGCTGAAGAGAGGCTCCTGTTTGAATTTTCGGATTCCAAGGAATGGAAGGCCGTTCTTGATTCCGGGGCTGTGCGTGTTTTAACGGTGGCCGAAGCCGCCATACTTCGTCAAAGGCCTCCGGGCAGGATTCTGGGCCCGCGGATAGTCAGGCGTTTTAAGCCCCGGGAGGGTGTCGGCTCCGCAGTCATTGCCAAATCCCGGTGGTGTGTTCAAGGTCATCGCGACCGTGGCAATGAGGAATTGCACGTCTATGCTTCGACCCCCCAGTCAGAAAGCATCATGGTCACGCTTCAGGCTATATGTTCGTTAGGGTGTGAAGTAGAGATAGCCGATTGCAAGGGCGCTTTCCGTCGGTCGAATCGGCTCCGTCGCCCGAAGGGGTCATATTTTGTGAGCCCTGCTCAGGTTTGAATCTTGCGCCAGGACAGCTCATTGAATTAGTTGCCCCGGTTTGCGGCCTCAATGATGCACCTCTTCTCTGGCATCAGACCCTCGCGCAGGGGCTTTCGGAGGGCGGTTTCGAACAATTCCCTGTTGGAGCATTGCCTCTGGATAAAGCGCCCCCCGCAGACAGAGGTCCGATCTTTGATCCTGATCGAAGTTGGTAACCTTATTTCCAGCGCTCCGCGGGAACGCGAAGGTCTTCGAGAGAGACTCCAGGGGGGGTTCAAGGTTGGCAAGTGGGGAACCCGGGAGGCCGACTTTGCCTGTCGCCACGCGCGACAGGTCGGGGGCCGAATTTTTGTCGACCAAGAAAAGTACATCCTGGAGCAACTTGCCCCGATGCGCCTGGCTAAGGAGAGACGTGCTGATCCTGGCGCTTGCCTGGGGCCAGATGAGGTCAAACTGTGCAGGTCTATGGCGGCGCAGATGCAGCGGCTCGGGCGAGAGAGCCGCCCGGATTTTGCCGCCGGCGCCTCGCTTCAGAGTGCTTCCCTTCCCAGTCCTAAGGGCGGGGATGCCGTGCTATGCATTGAGGTAGTAGAGCGCCGCAAGAACGCCGCTAGTCACAAAATCACCCTTTTGCTTCCTGGTCCTAGCGCCCTCAGCTTCGTTGCGGTGTCTGGCGCCGGAGGTCCCGGGTCTGCCCGAAGACGTGGGGCTCAAGGAGGCTGGTTGGTTGTCGCCGCTGACTCTTCGATAACGACAGACCAGACGAGCTCGCGTTTCGCGTCTGAGTTGGCGTTCGACTCGCTTGAAACGAGTGGTCGCCTCCACGGGAGCGGCAGAGACGTAATTCCTCTCCGCGGCTCTCGCAGAGGCGCAGTGGCTGTCCATCCTCTAGCTCGATCTCCTCCACGGGGATGCGTGTCGACCAGACTGGCACCTGTCTCAGTTTCCCTTCTCTGTAGTGCTCAGCAGAGACTGCGCCCTCGCGGAGGGTGTCGAGACGATCTCAGTGGTGGATGCCATATCGTTTTTGATACGCTGATCAAGAACTCAGCAGGGTCGGGTGCTGATAGAGGATATAGATTAGTTCGAGCTAGTATGAGTGCCGTTGGCTCAGAAGTGAGGTGGGTTCCACGCGGGAGAATGGCCGCCGATGCGTTGACCAAGGCGGATCCAGCCCGTTGCAATTTGATCCTGATTGATGAGGACGGCCGTCTCTCATAACGATTTTTACAGATCCAGGAAGGCTTCCAAGGGTGTTCTTCAAAAAAACTAGCCTCGTTGAGTACTCTGAAGAGGGAGATGAGTCTTGGAGGCGGGAGGGCACTTACTTGGCTATGTCAGACCCACTGAAAGTAGTCCCGCTGTCCTCTCTGTCCTCTTCTTTCCCCCCCTCTATGTGTCTGTCATAGCCTTTTAGGCCTTACGCCCGCCGTGGGCGGGCACGGGTGATTCATGCTCGTTGGGGCGTTCCGTTGCAAAGAAACATGCCCCCCCCCACCCCCCTGTGGCCACCGATTTCAGGATCGTGGCTTCGGGGACGCGAATGTGGTGCAATTTGCAAGGAGTCGTTGCCTCGGGGACGCGAGCGTGGTGTAGTTTACGCAGGATCGTGCCGTCGGGGGCGCGAATGCGGGGTTATTTGCGAGGGATCGTTGCTCGAGAGGCGCGAAAGTATGTTAATTTGCAGGAAATCGTGGCTTCGGGGGCGCGTATACGGAGTATTTTGGGATCGTTGCTTCGGGGGCGCGAACGAGATGCAATTTGCGAGGGATGTTGGTCTCGTGGGCGCGTACGCAGTGTAATTTACGAGGGGTTCTTGCGTCGGGAGCGCGATTCGGGGGTGGTAACCGGGTGCTTTTCGGCTCCCCCCTCTCCCGTGCGGACATGAACAATTTACGGTATGAAGCAGAACGAAGGATTGTAACATTGGAGACTGGAAACTGGAACTGGTGCATGGTATTGAAATCTGACCTGAGCAGCCTGATGGCCCCACAAGGAGGCCAGCGGATCAATCGGATTGCACTGGCATGCTACATGTCAAACTATTCGCTGAAAGCAGTGACATGCTACATGTTTCAGTACATGCACGACCAACTACATGGATTCGTGCCCCTCGGTAATATGTAGCAGTGTGTATGGCGTTTCATCGCCGTTGCAAGGGTGGATTCGGAAGGGTTGCAGTTGCATTCTTAAGATAGTCAATATTGTCACTGCACTAATTGACTACAGCACAAACTGTAAGACCAAACGACGCCTGACGGCACAATAAAGTCCTGTTTGCTTGACCCTCGCTCTCATGTGCGCGAAATCCCGCTCTGGGGGTCCTCGGGCTACATCCCACACAGGGGCCACCAGACCCACGCACGTCTCGTTTCCCTCCCGGAGCATCCGCAGCTTCGTAGGAGACTCCAAGAGCCGCCAAAACGACTTATGTGCCCCCACCCCAAAATGTCCCAAGAAGTTTCCTAGACGGTTCGAACAGGACCCAAGAGGGCCCAAGAGTCTCCGAGAGTCTCCAAGGTAGTTCCAAGATGATCCCAAGAGGTCCCGAGGTGTTCTCAAGAGGACCTCAACAGAGCCCTGGAGCCAACATCATTCAGTCACCCAAGGATTGCTTGAGGTGTTTTCCCCGTGCCACCACGTGTTTCCTTCTCTGCCACATTCTACCATGTGTTTCCGCATGCGTCCACTTGCTTCCATTATTTTCAGAAGTGTTTCCGCGTGCTTGCTTGCCTCCACTGGCCCCCTCTGCTTCTTCTTTCATATGCGTACAATTGCTTTCACATGCGCCGCCGAGCTCCCCATGGACAGCATCTGCTCCCGACCGTTTCCACATCCGCCTCCCTACTCATGACTGTTCTGGCTCGGCTGCCTGGATCAGATCACATATGCACTGCCGTTCTGATGCTGGTACAGCAGGGACCCATGCCAAGAAACACCCTGCTTGCCTCCAGGGTGCCCTGGGTTTCTTGGGTTTCGATGGTTTTGCCGTGGGAAACGTGACGCGCCCACACCAAAAATCCATGGACGTCCTGGGGTCTCAGGGTTGGGCTTCTTTTGGAAGGTTTCTTGTGGTCGGGCCCCTACTGCATGACCACTGTAGCACGTAAGCCCGCGGTCACCATTCCGACCCCTTCCTTTCAATCGGGCGGGTCTGGGCCCGACCTGCGGCCAGGACCGCTGCCACCGCGCGTGCGCGCGCGCGCGCGCCGCCTCGCCCAGCTCAGGCTCGGTGGCGCTCGCCGACGAGCACGGCGGGTCCACGAAGAGGGGCGAACCGCAGGCGGCCCAACGCCATGTCTTTTCTGCTGCTCTGACGCCCCATCTCATGTGCTGCTTGCTTTTTCTCCCATCCTCCCTCCTCTTCCTCCTCTCCTCCTTCTCCTCCTCCCTTTCCTCCTCCACCCATCGCCCTGTTCAGCCGGCGCACTGGCTGCGAACGCTCCAGGGACGCCGCGTGGCTGGTGCAGTGCAGTGACGCCCCCTCGCATCCGCAAGAGGAATCTCTAGAAACCACCGTGCGCGGCCAAGGCCATCCTGGGCCTCAGGAGGGTGCGCAGTCGTCCTGGCGTCGGCCAGAGGAGGGCGTACGGCATATATTCTTTGCCGGCGGCCTTCCCGGCGAAGGGGTGCGGAAGCGTGGCGTGTTGGCTCAACGCGGCGCGGACCCCATCTTTTTTTTTCTGGCCTCTGCCCACAACAAGCGATGATCGGGGGTCGGGCCTGTCGTTCCTCTCTCTTTTCTCTCTTCTCTCCTCTCTTTTCTCTCTTCTCTCTTCTCTCCGTCCATCGCTGCCTCGTTGCCCCTGCTTTTTTTTTTGTTGCCTCTCTGCCTGCCTGCCTGCCTGCCTGTCTGCCTGCCTGCCTGCCTGCCTGTCTGTCTGTCTGTCTGTCTGTCTGTCTGTCTGTCTGTCTGTCTGTCTGTCTGTCTGTCTGTCTGTCTGTCTGTCTGTTGGTCTGTCGAACTGTAGGTCTGTCGGTCTGTCTGTCTGTCTGTCGGTCGGTCTGCCGGTTGGTCTGTCTATCTGCCTGCCTGCCTGCCTGCCTGGCTGGCTGCCTGCCTTGCTGCTTGCCTGCCTGGCTGCCCGCCTGTCTGGCTGGCTGGCTGTCTGTCTGTCTGTCTGTCTGTCTGTCTGTCTGTGTTTACGTCTGTCTGTCTGTGTCTGTCTCATTTTCCATCCCGCCCTCTGCGTCTCTGTCCCTGCCCATCCGTGCACCTCCAATCCCCTGTCCCTGCCTCCGTCCCCGCCCCCTGGTGCAGATCCGTGCCCCCCGCCTTGCTTTGTCGCACACCTCGCCCCGCCATTGGCTCGACCCACGCCAGGACGTCGTCCCGAGGGCCGGTCAACACCTCGCCCGTCACAGACTCAACTCGGGTTCGACCGACGCCGACATGTCGCCACGCGTGCGGATCGGGGGGCACGACATGGGTTCGAGTAGGGGAACGAACAGTGACATAAACTTAATATTTCGGAGGTCCGCGCGGATTTCTCGGACCGGCGCTGGGGCCCCCTGACAGCGCCTCCAGCGCGGGGGTCCAGCGCGAATCCAAGAAATCCGCGCGGACCTCCGAGTTTTTAGGTTATGTCATTTTTCGCTCTCCTAACGAAGACCGACAGCAGTTCCTGTTCCTTTTTCCCGGGACTCGTTGCCGGCGTCGCTGCGGACCACTTGAGACCGAAGGCCGCCCGCCCAGCAGCGGCCGCTGTCGGCTTTGGACACCACTTGTTGTCGGGCATCGTGCATGCTTCTTCTGTACCCGTTTCAGGCGTCCAGATCAGGGGCAACGATAGGGGGGGATAGGCATAGGGGGGGACGCATCGACCCCCAATCGCCCATTGATCGCCTACAGGGGCCCGATAGCCCCAACCTGCCCAGGAACGTGGGGATTCCATGTCGGGGGCCTATCACCGATCTGTCGGCGATGTATCGCCAATTCCAGGTCGATGTTTCCGCCCCCTATGCCGGTCCCCCCCGCACCCGCCCCTCACCAGAGCGGACTCCTCTGGAGAGAGCACGTGGTGTCCCAAGCGTCCAGTCTCTCTGGGCCTCTAAGGGGGCGCCCTTCATGGCCACGTCGAGGGGCCGCCCGCGGGGAGGCTCCTGGCCGGCACGCGCCCCAGCGGAGGCGTAGGGGGCCCGTTTTGGAGGAGGGGCCCGGTCACGCGTAGGGATCGAAGAAGAAGAAGAAGACGAAGAAGAAGAAGAAGAAACAGCACAAAGCTTTCGACGGTCCGCGCGGAGCGCCAAAAGTTTATTTTCATGCCGTTTTTTCTTCTTCTACCAGCGGCGGCCACGCGTAAGGAGTCTTTCTTTGCCAGAGTGGCCTCCGGTGGCGTTGCATCCTCGGGAGGCCTCGTCGGTCCTCAGGATGGATGGGCGTTTGTTCTCGAGGCGGACTCGACGCGGGTTTGGCGTGGATTCGATGCGGATTCGATGTGGATTCGACGGGGCTTCGATGTGTCTGGCATGAATATGACAGGATCATGTTTGCGCCAGGTCTGGTGAGGAGGAGGGGGAGGAGGGGAAGGGAAGGGAGGGAGGGAAGGGGGAGGGGAGGAGGGGTAAGAGGGGGAGGAGTGTGGGGAGGGGGACGATAGGGGAGAGGGGAGTGCGCGTGTGTGTGTGTGTGTGTGTGTGTGTGTGTGTGTGTGTGTGTGTGTGTGTGTGTGCGTGTGTGTGTGTGTGTGTGTGTGTGTGTGTGTGTGTGTGTGCGTGTGCGTGCGTGTGCGTGTGCGTGTGCGTGTGCGTGCGTGTGCGTGTGCGGTGCGTGGTGCGTGTGTGTGTGTGTGTGTGTGTGTGTGTGTGTGTGTGTGTGTGTGTGTGGTGTGTGCGTGCGTGCGTGCGTGCGTGCGTGCGTGCGTGTGTGTGTGTGTGTGTGTGTGTGTGTGTGTGCTGTGGCGTCTGCGCGCGTGCGCGCGCGCACGCGCGCCCGTCCGCTCTCTGCGGATGCACGCGCGCCTGCTTGTGGCGGTGCGCTATCTGGTGGCCGTCGGCCCGTGCTGCCGCCTTGCCTGGGTCGTGGGCGAGAGGCCTCTTCGGGGTTTCTTTGGTTGCCTCTCGGATGGCCCCTCGTGGGCCTGCTGGCGGTCCCGTGGACCATCTTGGTGTGAAGGGCTCCAGATGACAGCGGCCCGGGCTTCCCGTGTTGAGTCTCTTGGGCGTCAGGGGTCCCTCGGGGGGCTCTGGGGCCGTTCTGGAGCTGTCTTGGGGGCTTCTTGGGCCGTCTTGGGCGACATCATGACCGAAACGCTGAGAATGTTGAAACATTTTGTTTTGGTGCGTTCAGTGACTTTGGCCTCTTTGGCCAGCCCCTCCAGGCCCGCAGGGCTATGAGCATCTTGGAGGTGGAGATCTCCAACGACGTTTCCTGGGCATCTGGAACAGTTTTCGCGGGGATTTTCGGAAGCGCCAGCCAAAGAGCGCCCGAGAGCGTCCCATAATTTTGGGAATCCTGGGCTTGGGCCCCTTCACGAGTATTTGTTATACTCAGTACTGAGGACTTGAAGGGACCTGGGGAGTATTACTCTCGGTGCCTATGGCATGGTGTCGGATCCATGGCAAGGTGTTCTGCATTAGAGGTCGTCCGAGATAATAGGGACTGTGTAAACGCGAGCTTTCGGTTGGGAGGATGGACACCTTCGAGGCTTCCTGCGGCTCCCCTCATCTTCTCCGCCGTAATGTTGGTATGCGCCTCAGGTCAGTCCCAAGCTGGACCCCATGTCCAGCGGCCTGTTCTTTCGCCACGACTACCCCCACGACCAGAGACCACCGGTGCGCGATACCGGTAAGAGGTTGTGAGGTGTTGACGACAGGACGGATTGTAGTACAAGGCAGTCGGAGCAACGAGCAGGAAGTCGTGCAGGCGATCTCAAAGAGCATGAGCGTTGCAATCATCCGCGAATGTATTCGCCCGCCACTCTCCTCCCTGCATGCTCCTGCCGACATCCTTGATCTGATCCTCTTTCCTCCCTCTCCTCCTTCTTCCTTTCTTCTTCTCTCCCCCCTTTTTCCGGTTTCCCCCAATTGTCTTTCTTCCCTCTTCCTGCATTGCTCCTTCCCCTTGGCACGAAAGGATTGGCGTATGGGCATGATGAGGAAGAGAGATGGTGGAGGTGGAGGAGGAGGAGGAGGAGGAATGGGGGGGGAGGAGTAGGAGGCAGAGGGAGGGGGAGAGGAAGAGGGAAAGGGAGAGGGAGAGCATGAGGAGGAGGAGGAGGAGGAGGAGGAGGAGGAGGAGGAGGTGGAGGAGGTGGAGGAGGAGGAGGAGGAGGAGGTCCTCCTTCCCCTCAGCTTGAGCGACGTCGTTTGCCCTGCGAGCTGTTCGTGCGCAGTGCGCGTCCCCGCCAGGGGATCCGACTTGGGGAGCTCGCGTCTCCCGAGGCCGCCTGGTTGATCAGAAGTGGAGATGATACTTGAGAGGAGCAGAGGTGGAGGAGGCGGAGGAGGAGGAGGAGGGGGGGAGGAGGATCAGGAGGAGGAGGAGGAGGAGGAGGAGGAGGAGGAGGAGGAGGAGAAGGAGGCTGATGAGGAGGACGAGGAAGAGGAGGAGGAGGAGGAGGAGGACCAGTGTAAACCCAAGAGTCATCAACGATGTTGGAATAAACCCTCCCCCCAAGCTCCCTCTTTATAGGCCCCTACAACGGTTTATTTCCACAGAGGGACCTGCCTCGTTGGAAGACAACCGTTTGAAGACCCCGAAGCATGCCCAAACATTATTCTCGGTATTCCAACTCCACGAGTGAATCTGACTTTTGCGTCTTGACGATCCTGAATCGTGCGGGAATGCTATTTCTGGGACCTCAATTCCGCGAATCATCCTGACTGTTGCGCCCTCTGGTACGTCGATCATGGGAATCCGTGACACCATTGCAATTCTTTGTCCGCAATGTGCGCGGCGCATAGGCGAGAGCCACATTTTGAGAAGGAACCGCCGTGAATCAGTGAACCTATTGCAAATAAAAACGAATGTGCGCGGCGCTAAGGCGAGAACCACATATTGAAAAAGACAAGCCTTCAATCCGTGAAGCTTTTGCAGTTTTTTTCCCAACCATCCTGTGGTGTTGGGTCCTCGTTTTGAAGAGACAGCGCCCCGCGTCCCACCTCCTCTCCTCCTCCTCCCCCTCCTCCTCTCCTCCTCCTCCCCCTCCTCGCCGCTCCTCAGCGTTTCGTAGTCCCATAGGAAGCTCCACCGAAGGTCCCAGTGGCACAGCCCGCATGCGGTTCCCCCACCCAGGGCAGCGTTTCGTTGCCCCATAGGGAGCTCCACCGAAGGTCACAGTGGCACAGCCCGCATGCGGTTCCCCCACCCAGGGCAGCGTTTCGTAGCCCCATAGGGAGCTCCACCGAAGGTCCCCCAGTGGCACAGCCCGCATGCGGTTCCCCCACCCAGGGCAGCGTTTCGTAGCCCCATAGGGAGCTCCACCGAAGGTCCCAGTGGGGAGCTCCACCGAAGGTCCCAGTGGCGCAGCCCGCACGGTTACCCCACCCAGGGCAGCGTTTCGTGGCCCCATAGGGAGTTCCACCTAAGGCCCAAGTCGCGCAGTTCGCATGCGCCCCCCCTCCCCCCCCACCCAGGGCAGCGTTTCGTGGCCCCATAGGTAGCCCCCCCGAAGGTCCCAGTGGCGCAGTTCGCATGCGTCCAGGGCAGCGTTTCGTGGCCCCATAGGGAGCTCCACCGAAGGTCCCAGTGGCGCAGTTCGCATGCGTCCTCCCCACCCAGTACAGCGTTTCGTGGCCCCATAGAGAGCTCCACCGAAGGTCCCAGTGGCGCAGTTCGCATGCGTTCCCCCCCACCCAGTACAGCGTTTCGTGGCCACATAGGGGGCTTCCCCGAATGCGATCCCCACAACTGTATATGGTTGGGTCTTTCGCCAGGCTATTTTTTTAAACGAGTGTGCGCTGCGCTAAGGCGAGAGTCACACTTTGAAAACGACCCGCCCTCAACCCGTGAAACTTTTATAATTTTCTATAACGAATGTGCGCTGCGCTAAGGCGAGAGCCACATTTTGAAAACGATTCCCCCCTCGATCCGTGACACTCCTTGGCAAATTTGTAAAGCGAGTGTGCGCGGCGCTGAGGCGAGAGCCACATTTTGAAAACGACCCGTCCGCAACACGTGGAACTTTTGCCATTTTGTACAACGAATGTGCGCGGCGCTGAGGCGAGAGCCACATTGTGATAACGACCTGCCCTCTACCCGTGAAGCTCTTGCAAATTTTGAAACAGAATGTGCGCGGCGCTGAGGCGAGAGCCACATTTCGAAGACGACCCGCTCACCATCTATGGAAATATTGTCATTTTTTCCAAACCATCCTGTGGTGTTGTGTCCTCGTTTTGAAGAGACAGCGCCCCGCGTTCGCTCCTCCTCCTCCCGCTGCCCTCTCCCTCCTCCTCTCATCAGCATCATCATCGTCATCGTCATCATCATCAACATCATCATCATCACCATCACCATCATCATTATGCAAGGGGCTAGCCGTACCATCGTCACCATCACCATCATCATCATCGTCATCATCATCGACATCGTCACCGCTACCGTCCTCGTCATCATCATCATCATCATCATCATCATCATCATCATCATCATCATCATCATCATCATCATCATCATCATCATCACCATCATTATTATCATCATCATCATCATCATCATCATCATCATCATCATCATCATCATCATCATCATCATCATCATCATCATCACACATTTCGGCGCACCATTCACACGTTTCGTGGCCCCACCGGGAGCTCTGCCGAATGCCCCAGTGGGGGTGCCCGCATGCGTCCGCCACACCCAGCACAGCGTTTCGTGGCCCCACAGGGAGCTCCACCGAAGGCCCCAGTGGGGGTGCCCGCATGCGTCCGCCACATCCAGTACAGCGATTCGTGGCCCCACAATGGGGGTCCACCGAAGGCCCCAGTGGGGGTGCCCGCATGCGTCTGCCACACCCAGCACAGCGTTTCGTGGCCCCACAGGGAGCTCCACCGAAAGCCCCATTGGTGGTGCCCGCATGCGTCCGCCACACCTAATACAGCTTTTCGTAGCCCCATAGGGAGCTCCACCGAAGGCCCCAGTGGGGTGGGGGGGTCGCATTCGCGGTCCCATATGGAGCTCCACCAAAGGCCCCAGTGGGGGTGTTCGCATACGGTTCCCCCACCCAGGGCAGCGTTCCGTGGCCCCATAGGGAGCTTCACCGAAGGCCCCAGTGGGGGTGTTCGCATGCGGTTCCCCACCCAGGGCAGCGTTTCGTGCCCCCCATAGGGAGCTCCGCCGATGGCCCCAGTGGGTGGGGTGGGGGGGGTCGCATGCGGTTCCCCCACCCAGGGCAGCGTTTCGTGGCCCTATAGGGAGCTCCACCAAAGCACCAGTGGGGGTGTTCGCATGCGGTTCCCCCACCCAGGACAGCGTTTCGTGGCCCCATAGGGAGCTTCACCGAAGGCCCCACTGGGGGTGTTCGCATGCAGCGTTTCGTGGCCCCTCAGGGAGCTCCGCCGATGGCCCCAGTGGGGGGGGGGGTCGCATGCGGTCCTCACCCAGGGCAGCGTTTCGTGGCCCTATAGGGAGCTCCACCGAAGGCCCCAGTGGCTGCTCTCGCATGCGGTTCCCCCACTCAGGGCAGCGTTTCGTGGCCCCATAGAGAGCTCCACCGAAGGCCGCAGTGGCGCAGTTCGCATGCGGTTCCCCCGCCCAGGGCAGCGCTTCGTGGCCCCGTAGGGAGCTCCACCGAAGGCCCCAGTGGGGGTGTTCGCATGCGGGCCCCCCGCCCAGGACAGCGTTTCGTGGTCCCATTAGGGAGCTCCACCGAAGGCCCCAGTGGGCTCCACCGAAGGCACCAGTGGCTGCTCTCGCGTGCGCTTCCCCCGCCCAGGGCAGCGCTTCGTGGCCCCATAGGGAGCTCCACCGAAGGCCCCAGTGGGGGTGCCCGCGTGCAGTTCCCCCACCTAGGGCAGCGTTTCGTGGCCTCATATGGGAGCTCAACCGAAGGCCCCAGTGGGGGTGTTCGTAGCGTCTCCCCTACCCAGGGCAGCGTTTCGTGGCCCCATAGGGAGCTCCACCGAAGGCCTCAATCGGGGTGTTCGCATGCGTCTCCCCCACCCAGGACAACGTTTCGTGGCCCCATAGGGAGCTCCACCGAAGGCGCCAGAGGCGCAGTTCGCATGTGTCTCCCCCACCCATGGCAGCGCTTCGTGGCCCCATAAGGAGCTCCAGCGAAGGTCCCAATGGCGCAGTTCGCATGCGTCTCCCTCGCCCAGGGCAGCGTTTCGTGGCCCCATAGGGAGCTACTCCGAAGGCCCCAGTGGCGGTGTCCACATGCGTACGCGCCACCAATTTCGGCGCACCCGTCACAAGTTTCGTGGCCGCATAGGAGCTTCACCGAAACCAATACCTACAATGCAGTACTCGCAACTGCACATGGTTGGGTCCTTCGCCAGGCTAATTTAGCTTCGGGGTCATAAGCGGTGAGGAAATCTCGGGCGAAACGCCCGGCCCGCCCTAAAAACTGGTTTCGGGGTGCGACAGGGAGGAGTCATTAATAAGGAGAAGGAATGGATCAGGAGGAGGAGGAGGAGGAGGAGGAGGAGGAGGAGGAGGAGGAGGAGGAGAGGAGGAGGAGGACGAGGAGGACGAGGAGGAGGAGGAGGAGGAGGAGGAGGAGGAGGAGGAGGAGGAGGAGGAGGAGGAGGAGGAGGAGGAGGAGGAGAGGAGGGAGGAGTGGAGGAGGGAGGAGGAGGAGGAGAGGAGGAGGAGGAAAAGGAGGAGGAGGAGGAGGAGGAGGAGGAGGGAGGAGGAGGAGGAGGAGGAGGGAGGGGAGGCCCTCCTCTCCTCTGGTCTCGCGTCGGACGAAGGGGGGATGGGGAAGGGGGGGGGCTACGAAATTTTCTGCGTGCACCTGGTTTCGGCCACTCGGCCTGATACTTTCCTCGATGCGACGCGCCAGGACAGCCAGCAGCTGGCAGCTGATTCGCCACCCCTTGCTTTGCTACCCCCTTTCGTCCGACCTGAGGGTCCCCTCTCTCCCCGCTCGCTTCGTCCTCCACGCCCTCAGCTCCTTCCTTCTCCGCTCTGAGCATCCCCTTCCCTTTGACCCCACAACCGCCAGCCCCACGACCGCCGTTTGGAGACCGAGCCCAAAAAATCCAGGAGGGGGGAGGGGCTGAGCGGGGCAGAAGGCTGCAAGAGGGTTCCGACAGCACCCACGCAACCAAGAAGAAGGAGTAGAAGGAGGGGAAGGGCGTTGACGAGAAGGAGGACAACCTCCCTCGCCCCTCCGTCTCTCGGCCTCCCGTTCTTCGCCCCGACCCTCCCCCGCCGCCGCTGCGTGGGGCCGCCGCAGACGGGGCCGGAGTTTGACTTCAACCACCCGTATCCGCTCGTCCAGGACACCGACATGTACGACAAGGATCGCCCGTACCCTTTTGGCCGCTCGGGCGCGGCGAGTCGGGGGAGTGGGGCGGGGTTCCCAGTAGTTCGGAGGAGGAGGAGGAGGCGGGGGAGGAGGAGGAGGAGGAGGAGGAGGTGGGGACGGAGGAGGAGGAGGAGGAGGAGGAGGAGGAGGAGGAGGATGAGGAGGAGGAGAGGAGGAGGAGGAGGAGGAGGAGCAGGAGGAGGAGGAGGAGGAATGCTACGAGCCAGGAGGAGGAGGAGGAGGAGGAGGAGGAGGAGGGGGAGGTGGAGGAGGAGGAGGAGGAGGGAGAGGCTGATGTAGTCGATTTTGCTGGTGCGTCTGATGATGATAATGATGACGATGCCGATGATGATGATGATGATGATGATGATGATGATGATGATGATGATGATGATGATGATGATGATGATGATGATGATGATGATGATGATGATGATGATGGTGATCATGATGATGATGATGATGATGATGATGATGCTGATGATGACGATGATGATGATGATGCGGATGCTGCTGCTGATGATGATGTTGATGCTAATGATGCTGATGATGCTGATGCTGCTCATGCTGATGATGACGATGTCGACGATGTTGGTGATGCTGATGCTGCTGCTGCTGATTGGGATGATTTTGATGATTATGACAAAGGTGACACTGCTAATGCTGATGATAATGCTGATGATTTTGATGACGATGATGATGATATTGTTCTTGTTCTTGTTCTTGTTGAACATTATTAATTCTAAAGAATAATTATTGTTGGGCCCCCTGGTGCGCGCCCCCCCCGCCGCGCCTAGGCCGCAGCCACGTTTTCATCATTTTCGTGAGGAAGCCTCAGGTAAAACGATGTCATCCAGATCCGGTTGTTTTGTTGTAATCCGCTTTCCCTTGCAAAAAACACTATAAAATGAAATTTCTTGTTCTAATATATCAAATTTCAAGAATCCCTTGTAAAAAATAAGGTAAAGTGGACATTCGCGCGCGCAAGACGAAATCCTTCCAAAAGCTTAGTGTTCGGAGCGATTTCAACATAAAAACATCAAAAAACCAATGGTTTTTCAACAACAAAATGTCAAAATCTCATCCCGCGCGCTCTTGCGGATTCGTAGGAAACCCAACATTTTTTAAACATTTCTGTCAAACGGGCTTTTGCGAGCAACTTTTTCGAACTTCTGCGACAACGGTTGCGCACCTGCCAGGGCCATCATCCCTGTCAAATAATACCATGCGGGACACATTCGTTTTTTCTTCGCGCGCGCACGCCGAAATCTCCAAAAACCATTGGGTTCTGTGGGTGTGTACCCCACGCCAGTGTAGTAGCCACGGTCGTCCGCACGCCACGAAGTGAAGTGTCCCAACGTCATAGGGCGGGAAGCTGGGTTTGGGTGGTCGCGAAGAGTCGTTTGGATATTTGGTAGAGCTTGTAATGCCCCCCCACGAAGTGGGGGTATTGCCTGGTGTCGTATGAAAACCCTGGCACTGGGGAGAACACCACGCGTTCGGGTAAAATGATTGTTGTTGTTGTTGTTGTTGTTGTTGTTGTTGTTGTTGTTTTCATTGATGTTGTTGTTATTGCTGTTGTTGTTGCTGTTTGTAGTACTCGTAGTACTTGTTGTTGCTGTTGCTGTTACTGTTGTTGTTGTTGTTGTTGTTGTTGTTGTTGTTGTTGTTGTTGTATTTGTTGTGATTATTGTCGTTGTCGTTGTCGTTGTCGTTGTCGTTGTCGTTGTCGTCGTCGTCGTCGTCGTCGTCGTCGTCGTCGTCGTCGTTGTTGTTGTTGTTGTTGTTGTTGTTGTTGTTGTTGTTCGTAAGGGCGGGGCGCCCCGTCCCATGTCCCACAACCCCTCCCCCTCCACAACACTCACAACAACCGGAATTCCGAAGGAATCCTCGGAATTCCGAAGGATTCCTAGGAATTCTTCAGAATTCCTAGGATTCCTAAGAATTCCTAAGGATTCCTGGGACTTCTAAGGATTCCCAGGAATTCCTAAGGATTCCTAGGAATTCTTAAGGATTCCTAGGGATTCCTAAGGATTCCTAGGAATTCCTAAGCATCCCTAGGAATTTCTAACGATTCCTAGGAATTCCTGAAGATTCCCAGGAATTCCCAAGGATTCCTAGGAATTCCTAAGGATTCCTAGGAATTCCGAAGGGTTCTTGTGAATTTCTAACGATTCCTCGAAATTCCTAAAGGTTCGTAGGAATTCCTAAGGATTCCTCGGAATTTCTAAGGATTCCTAGGAATTCCTACGGATTCCTAGGAATTCGGATTCCTAGGAATTCCTAACGATTCCTAGGAATTTCTAACGATTCCTAGTTCCTAAGGGTTCGTAGGAATTCCGAAGGATTCCTAGGAATTCGTAAGGATTCCTAGGAATGCCTAAGGATTCCTAGGAATTCCGAAGGATTCCTAGGAATTCCTAAGGATTCCTGGGACTTCCTAAGGATTCCTAGGAATTCCGACGGATTCTTAGGAATTCCGAAGGATCCCTAGGAATTCCGAAGGATCCTCAGGAATGCCTAAGGATTCCTAAGAATGCCTAAGGGCGCCTAGGAATTCCTAAGGATTCTAAGAATTCAGAAAGACCCATAGGAATTCGTAAGGATTCCTGGGAATTCCCAAGGATTCCTAGGGATTCGAACGGATTCCTAGGAATTCTTAGGAATTCCTAAGGATTCATAGGGATTTCTAACGATTCCTAGGAATTCCGAAGCAATCCCAGGAATTCCTAAGGATTCTTAGGAATTTCCAATGATTCCAAGGAATTCCTAAGGATTCCGCGGAATTCCTAGCGATTCCTAGTTATTTCTGAGGATTCTTAAGAATTCCGGAGGATTCCTGGGAATTCCGAAGGATTCCTAAGAATTCCGGAGGATTCCTAGGAATTCCTAACGATTCCTAGGAATTCCTGGAGATTTTTGAGAATTCCGAAGGGTTCCTAGGAATTCCGAAAGATTCCTAGGAATTCCCAAGGATTCTCAGGAATTCCGAAGGATTCCCGGGAATTCCGAAGGATTCCCGGGAATTCCGAAGGATTCCTAGGAATTCCTAAGGATTCCCAGGAATTCCGAAGGATTTTTTAAGAATTCCGTAGGATTCCCACGAATTCCTAAGGATTCCTAGGAATTCCTCATTTCTCCGGTGCACACATGCTTTTTGCTGGCAGGGATTCGTTGGTGCCAGAGAGGAGGTCAGCAGATGTTCACACAAATCGAATTCAATGGCGTTGTTGTGGTGTTGTGGGGAGGGGGGGGTCGTTGTTGTGGTTGTTGCGGGGGGGGGTCCCGACGGGTCGGCGCTGGCCGCCCTTGCGTTGTTGTCGTTAGTAAGGGCGTGGCGCCCCGACCGTGTCCCACAGCACCTCCTCCCCTCCACAACACTCACAACAACCGGAATTCCTAAGGATTCCTTGGAATTCGCAAGGATTCCTAGGAATTCCTAAGGATTCCAAGGAATTCCGAAGGATTCCGAGGAATTCCGAAGGATTCCTGGAATTTCCTAAGGATTCCTAGGAATTCCGAAGGATTCCAGGAATTCCGAAGGATCCCTAGGAATTCCGAAGGATCCCTAGGAACGCCTAAGGATTCCTAGGAATGCCTAAGGCTTCCTAGGAATTCCTAAGGATTCGTGAGAATTCCGAAGGATCCAGAGGAATTCGTAAGGATTCCTAGGAATTCCGAAGGATTCCTAAGGATTCCTAGGAATTCGAAAGGATCCTTAGGAATTCCAAAGCATTCCCAGGAATTCCTAAGGATTCCTAGGAATTCCTAAGGATTCCTATAAATTCCTAAGGATCCTTAGGAATTCCCAAGAATTCCTAGGAATTCCTTAGGATTCTTAGGGATTTCGAATGATTCCCAGGAATTCCTAAGGATTCTTGGGATTCGGAAGGATTCAGAGGAATTCCGAAGGATCCGTGAGAATTCCGAAGGATTCCGAGAAAATCCTAATGATTCCTAAGGATTCTTAGGAATTCTTAAGGATTCCTAGGGATTCCTAAGGATTCCTAGGAATTCCGAAGGATCCCTATGAATTCCTAAGGATTCCCAGCAATTCCGAAGGATTCCAGGGAATTCCGAAGGATTCCTAGGAATTCGAAGCATTCTTAGGAATTCCGAAGGGAGTTCTAGGAATTCCAAGAAGGTTTTAGAAATTCCGCAGGATTCCTGGGAATTCCGAAGGATTCCTAGGAATTCCGAAGAACTCGTAGGAATTCCGACGGATCCCGCGGAATTCCTAAGGATTCCTAGGAATTCCTGAGGATTCATAGGAATTCCTAAGGATTCCTAGGAATTCCTAAGGATCCCTAGGAATTCCGAAGGATTCCTAGGAATTCCGAAGGATTCCTAGGAAGTCTACAGGATTCATAGAATTTCCTAAGGACGCCAAGGAATTCCGAAGGATGCCTAGGAATTTCAAGGATTCCTTGGATTTCCAAAGGGTTCCTAGGATTTCCAAAGGATTCCCCTAGGAATGCCTAAGGATTCCTAGGAATTCCGAAGGATTCCTAGGAATTCCCAAGGATTCCTAAGGCTTCCGAGGAATTCTTGGGAATTCCGAAGGGTTCTTCGGAATTCCTACGGATTCCTAAGAATTCCGAAGGACCCCCAGGAATGCCTGAAGATTCCTAGGAATGCCTAAGGATTCCTAGGAATTCGTAAATATTCCTAGCCTAAGGATTCCCAGGAATTCGTAAGGATTCCTAGGAATTCGTAAGGATTCATAGGAATTCCCAAGGATTCCTAGGAATTCCTAAGGATTCCTAGCAATGCCTAAGGATTCCCAGGAATGCCTAAGGATTCCTAGGATTTCGTAAGGATTCCTAGGAATGCCTAAGGTTTCCTAGGAATTCGTAAGGATTCCTAGGAATTAAAAAGAATTCCTAGGAATGCCTACATATTCCTAGGAATCGGTATGGATTCCGAGGAACTCGAAAGGGTTCCTAGGAATGCCTAAGGATTTCTAGGAATGTCTAAGGATTCCTAAGAATTCG